AAAAAATCCATAAAATAAACCGATTTTTTTCAGAAATATTTACTCAAGTTTAATTGTAGATTTTATGGGAAATTTTTTAGAAAATAAAATGAAAAGTTTACAGTAAATTTAAATGAAAAAAGCGTTACATTTTTTCAGTTAAAATTACCAAAAAAATCGTTACGTGTGCGGATAGGGCAAATATTGCCAGCTCTGAAACTGAACGAAAACTAATTCGCTTCACCGATCGATCTACATTTTTATCATCGAAAAATATTGATAATATGATGATGATATTGAACTGATTGAATGTCATATTTGAAACAGGGACCGGGTCGCATATATTTATACTTTGTATAAACGCAGACGATACATATCCGTCGCTGTTCGCTTTGTGCTGTGCTCAATAAATACAATGTATGTGCGTGCGTCTCTCAATGGTCACATGCACACACGAACATGTATTCGCATGCTTCATACATAGCGAACAGCGATGGATATGTTGCGTCTGCGTTTATACTTTGTATATTTATACTGTCTGCGTTTTTTATGCTAGTATAAAATTATACGCGACCCGGTCCCTGATTTGAAATATGCATCGATTTCTCGAGGAGCTTTGAAAATGTGATAAGAAATTTGCTGTGTAGATTAAGATTAGCATCCGTTTATTTTTACTCTCTATTCAGACGTTGAATGATGATTAAGGTTGCGATTGCCTCAAAGTTTACATTTTCAAATGAATTTCGAATACGTAGAGAAAAACAACAAGAGTCATATGAATAAAAAACATTCGACGGGCGTATTTTTCCATGATAATTTTGCTTCAAACTGAAAAAAAATAATCTTTATTATTTGTTTGGTAAAAACCCATTTGATGTAATCATAACTTGGAATAAAATTTCTGAAGAAATACGCTCTATTGAATCTCATGATCTCTTTAAATCAAAATATGCAGCTGAAATATATAAATGTTATGAGCAATTGATTTAGTATATATTAAAATTATATCAGAATTTATTTATTTAATTATTTATATAGATTCAACCAAAATGTTAATTTTAATTACAATGTTCGCTACTTTTTTACCATAAAATGTATTAGCTTTAAGAAAATGTAATTGGCCTTTTGGCAGCAAGTGTATTTAATCATTGCACGTGTAAATTTTACACAGATTGATACACCGTATACTAATAAATAATAATAATAATCATAACTTATATTAGTGATTTATTAGATGAAAAAATACGCGCAAATTATAAAACGCAATTAGCACTCAATTCGACTGCAAGCCTGGCCACACGATCGACTCTATCCAATCAAAATAATGAGCAACACGCATGTTAACACCAGGCAGATTCCAAAAGAAACGATCCAACTATTGTTGCAATGTTTGAATCACCATCAGGAAAGTATTGAAGTGGGCCTTCAATGTCACCTCGGCAACTATCATTCCTTCCTGCCGGATCGAATGCGCAATATTGCCCCTCGCTAGTACCATTTTGAAGAAAATTTTTATTTATAAGCGTTTGACTGCATTTTACAAAAAAAAAGTAATTTAATTTCTACTTACTTCTCCCAGTCTTACAAAAATCGGTTTATAATCAATGCGG